GACTTACTTTGGTAAAAAAATCCTCAAAATAGCTATAAATGCATTTTTCCAAATAAAGATCACGATACTTAGCATTTAATTTTTTGTTGATGAACATCAATCAAAGTAGGGTAAGGCTAATAAGTACGCACTATTTTATTCAAACCTTATCTATGGAATTATAATGATAATATTACGATTATGGAACCCCAATCAAAATCACAATTAATTTCAATACATCAAAAACACACAATTGGAAATTTCGAATCAATTATGAGAAACACTTCAAATTGTAAGAGTGTGGGGACATATACATTTAATTTATAACCAACTATATATACATGTGAGTTGCAAACACCTCTCCCATGATTGGGACTATTGAACAACTTATATGAGCTAGTAGATACATCTATCTTTATCTTATCAAATAATTTTCATTTTAAATATCTTTTTAAAAGGATCCAATTGAAACTAATTTTAAAAAAAAAAATGAAATTACTCAAAATTTGGAGATGGCTTTTTTAGGTCATTAATAGAAAGATATGTATAAATTTTGAAAGTCTTTCTCTAATAATAAAGTAGTATCCAATCTATACCAGATCACCGCTTTCTAAGCAATACAAAATGTATGGCAGGCACAATATGAATATTGAATACTATAATCACGTCACATGTATGGAAAAAAAAAACTTCAATCTCTCTCACTTTGTAATAGACATATTTCGATGTAACGAATAATTTTAAATCTTTATTTTTTATATATTCACACACGTATATCAGATCTAATCTAGCCCCTTTCATGCACAGTGAGAATACATTATGAAGAATTTTAAAAATTATAATTTTAGAGAAAAATGGCTTGGTTAGTTAATAAGAAAATATGTGTTGTTAGTTTTCTCTCATCATACATTGTGGTTGCTTTTGGTTTTTGAAAAATTATTTTTATTTGGTTTTTCAGAAATAAAAAACTATTTATTAATCAAAATGCTATGCCGTCCTTTTTAAAATTATATATCTTGAAAACTTTTCTAAAGGCGGGCATTTGATTCTATAAGACAAATGAAGAGAATAACTTTTTTTTTCCAGCTTAATTTAACTCCTTTTATTCAATTACTTCCACTGATTCAATATATGACACCGTTCAAATTTCGAGAGTCATACAATGAAATTTCAATTGTAAATTCAAATATGGCATCTTTAAATTTTTGTGATAAAATTTACATAATTAAAAAAAAAAACTACGTAAAATGTATTATAAATCACTATAATTGACAATTCACAAAAAATGAAAAAGTTATGATAAAAAAGATTGTTTGAATCACAAAATTTAAAATGTATCGTATAAAATAAAACAAATCAAGTATATTATTGGTTGTTGCATATTGGCCGTCTTAACTTTTTTAAAATCAATTAGTCGTAATTCTTTTATAGCTTCGAACAAACAAATATCAAAGGGACATGAAATTTGGTGAATACTCATTTTCGATTCCCAATTGAAAATATTCTTTATTCCGTAATTCGAACTTTAAATAATAATGATTAGTCCTCTCTATTTATTTTTTATGACCTCAAGCTATTATTGAGATTTTAAATTTTTTAAAGATTGAGAAAGTCGGAAAGAAAAAGACAAAATAAATAAACAAAAAAAAGGAAAATTATTTTAAAATAATTACATGACTTGTCTTTTTTGAAATTTTTTATGGCGGCAGAAGAGTCTCAACTCTCAAGGATCTAGTATTTTTCCTAATTATTTAATATCCATTGCTTAACAGCTTGTTTGATGGTTGTTACCTATCGTATCGTATTGTATTATATTATATTTATTAATTTAAATTGTTTATTTTGATTAATATTTATATTCTAAAGTAATTTTGTTTCATCTGCTAGAGCTTGAAGAGTTCCTTAAAGGATCGCTTCTCTTTCTAGTTCAAGAAGTTTTAAATAAAATAAAAATAAAAAATCATATGAATGAATTGATTCTGCTTCTTTCACTTTCTTTAACTATTGGCTAGGGTTGGTTTAGGGGGAACTTTATCAATTTCATGACTTGAGTGACTTCAGACTGAAATGAACCATCCAAGAAATTTTTTGCCTTAAGTAAGGTTTAACTTGCTTTTTCTCGAGATTCTCCTATATAACCAACCAAGCCAAGGGAAGGGCAAGCCCACCATAATCTCAGACGATGTTGGTGCTTTATGTTGTCCGTGGAAAGACAATGGAAGAGAAAGAAAATAGTTGTGATAGCTTGAAAAAAATCAGTTGAATCATCAGTGGGATAGTAGGAAAGAGTGTACAAGAGTTGTTCGATGATCGGACGCGCAATCTTCCGACATCATAACAAAGAAAAGTTCCATTTTGTAAAGAACGCTTTGGATTGATCGCATCGTTACCTTTTTCCCCCTCATTATATCTTTACTTATTTTTTTATAATATTTTTTTTATTTTTTGTATCTTGCCTTTTTACAATTGCTCTAGCTCGTTCTATACTTTTCTTATAAGTTTATCCTTCAAATTGTTATTGTGTCACAGTACAATACAATATAATAATATTCATTATGAAATAATATGTAATTGTCATCCAAACAGAGTTGTAAGAGGACATAGAACTTTTTTTTTTTACATATGAATGTAATTTTACTATGTACCAAAAATATACTTACAACTTTACAAGTTACAAAGAAGAAAAACTATTTTTAATTTTCCTATTTCTGAGCTTCATGTATGTTTCACTCTTGATTTAATGGAATTGACATAACTATGGTAATTCTCTCATTTTCTTATCTAACAAGGAAATGTCAAGGGTATCGATTTGGACTAATGCTGATTTTATATGGCTTTGAAATTATATTTTTAATTTTTATTCCTTTAATTCTTTAAATAATACATAAAAAGTTATTTTTTGTCTGGTTTGAACTTCCAAAGTAAAAGAATCTTCATGTTGTCATCATCTTTTTAGTTGGGCAATAATTTTCAATTTATGCATAAGATAATAGTCAGGAAAAATAAGTCAATGAAACAAAAAAAAAATCAAGAATTAATAAATTTTCTATAATGTTCCAAAATATTACGATGATTTGTGACAGTTTATGATAAAACTAAAATGTATTGACAACATCGATACCAATATATATATATATAATTATAATTTCACGAAAGATGATATAGTCGCAAAAAAATTAGACAAAATTATCTAATTACACAAATTATTTCTATCATATTTACTAATTTTCATCATAGTTTGAAATAATTACATTTTATATTACTAATTAATAATTTCATACCAAAATTCAAGTCAAATACTCTTAGATATTTGTTTTGTGAGGCGAGTGAGATTTGTCCATGTGTCTCAGATACATGTGAATCATACTAAATACATGTATATGTTATATTAGGTGTGACTCGCATGTATCTAGATATCAAATAGTCAGATACATAGGAGAGTGGCGAGCGAGACAAGAGACTAGTGAGCGATATTTACATGTATATGTATATATTAGGTGTGCTCGCATGTATCTAGATACCAAATAGTCAGATACATAGGAGAGTGGCAAGCGAGACTAGCAAGCAATATTTTTCTATGTATCGTACATACATTGTATTTAGAACAAATTACCCCTAATTTTAACTTCATTTATCCTAAGATACATGTATTTAAACGTATCTGAAAACACCAAAATCTTATAAGATTCGTAATATACTGTAAACTAGCGTATATCTAAGCAATTAGCTTCTAAACTAGTGTATTCTTCCATCGCAAGTATTATTATTATTTTTCTTTCAATTGAACTTAGTTGAAGTAGTCCTTTCACTTTCAATGCCCAGGATGTAACCGCGTCGTTAAGTAAAGAGAAAATAATACTTAATTAACATTATTAATAAGATATGATATGATAGATTTTATACTAAGGAAAATATCTATTTAATGAGATATAATAGACTCAAATGAAGCTTCCACCTCTATTCCTTTCACCTAATTACAACAACAACATTATCCTATGTAATGCCGCATAATAGCCTCAGGAGAGACTAGAATATACACAGATTATATTCCTACTTTAGAGATACATTCGACAGACCCTCAACTCAATAAAAAACAACATATATAGTAATGAAAATACAAGAAATAATAAATCGTAACAAATAATAAAAAGGACAATACCACAACAAAATAATAAGACAACAGATAGTAACAAAAATTGAAGAATACGAAAATATAAAAATAATACTACGATTACTAACATGGACGAACAATGCGCACCAACCTACTAATCTTTCACCTAATTACTCTCAAATAATAATTAATAATACTTAATAATGAGTGAAGTATATATATATATGTTGTTATTTTCTTTGCTTTGGTGGTGAATATTCAAATGAGTATGGCAGAAAAATATTCACCACCAATCCTAACCAAACTTGTGGGGCAAATATATGTCCCTTTCTCTATACCCCTAAACCACAATTGGCGTCAACTTCAACTATTCTTCACTAACATGGCATGCAGCCAGCCCCAAATATTGATTTTTCAATTTTTGTAATACCGATCTAATGAACGTACCTCAATTATTTCATTGAATACTTGTTACCTCTTATCGACACCAGATATCAATAATTGTAGTTATTAAACTTAGGCAGATAAAAATAGATAATTTTCCCTCAGATAAAGCCCTCAGCCCTACCTAGTTCTACTCTTGTTCTTAGGCATGATCACAGGTAGGCCGAACCCAATATTTTTTTCTCGAACCATGTAAATATGCTAAGAAGTCTCTAACTAAGTAAAAAGTCAATTCATAACTCGGTTAAATATTTAAGGTCCCTGACGTAGAATTCAAAACTCATAAATTCAAATCTTAAATTCGTCTCGGTGCAGCCATCTCCAACTATTGATACAACCTACAAACTCATCTAGGATATATCTAAATCAAACCCCATCATTTTCTGGAGGTCCCTCCTATTAAACAAACTCACTCTTGTACACGGTTTATAACACATTATATACCCAAACATTTCAAAGCTTGAGCAAAAAAATCCACTAAAAGTGTCACAATTTGAAATATACTTGACACTACTCTCTTGTCCCAACAAAAAGTTAGTAAATGGCTTCTTGGTTTGAACAAGCTCCTCCAAGAAATTACAAGAAGAATAGAGTAAATAAGCCAAAAAGTTTTGATGAATCCATCTTCATACCAAAAAATTCACCAACTTCTTTTGCAACTAATTATGGTTACTATTCCTACACATACACCCAAGACAAGAAACTTCATCCTGTTTTTCCTTTGCCTTTGCCATTAGATTCACCTAATTTCTCTACAAGATCAAGTAGTGGATCATCCCCTACCTCATCTCAGTTCAATGATGATGAAGAACAAGGGATTAGTCCACTATTTAGTCCATTCAGGTTTGTACAATCTTACTACGAAAAATAACTAGAATTAGTTATGAACTTTGTCTCTGGGGAATCTTAGTAGCTCAGTTGGTTTGCTACCTAAACTTTCACCTTATTGGTGAGGGCTCGATTCCCTACCTTGTAATCTCCTCATCCTTAAATTGCATACCTAATAGAGATTACTAACAAAATTTGCATGTCGCTTAACATTGAACAGAAACAAATGCAATGATTGGTCAAGAACATCAAATGAGAGTTCAAAATCTAACTCTCCTTGCACTTCACCAACAACATATCCAGTGGAATTGGATAAGAAATTGGATTCTCCTAATGGGAAACAAGAAGAATGTAATCATCCGCGCCATCCTCTTCCTCTTCCGCCAAATTCTTCTACTAAGGGTAGAACAGGGCAATGGAAGAAAGGGAAATTGTTAGCAAAAGGGACATTTGGAAATGTGTATGCTGGATTTAATAGGTATGTCATGACTCATGACTTTCACTCATTCTATTTTACATCTTTGCTCTCATGTTTTATGTTCTTCAAGGTAGTTGATTCCATAGTTTGAACTCGTAATCTATAGATCACACGGAAAATGGAGATTTGAGACCTCACTAGCTAAAAGCTGTAAATTTGTTTCTGCAACAGTGATAATGGACAAATGTGTGCTATAAAGGAAGTAAGAATCATCTTTAATGACACAACATCGAAAGAACGTCTAAAGCAGCTAAACCAGGTCAGTATATTTCAACTCAAATCAAGAAATTTTACATGGTCTTTCATGTTTTCGCCATTCATTCTCAACGTGATTAGTACTAACAAGTTGGTTTCTTGGTTAAACAGGAGATCACATTGCTCAGTCAACTCTCACATCCAAACATTGTGCAATACTATGGAAGTGAATTGGTATGGCCCCTTTGTGTTTGTTCTCAAAACAAATATTATGGTTTCTATCATCTTGCAATAATGAACTAAACTTGAACAAGGAAAAGTGACTATGAACAATCTTGTTTACAGAGAGGAGATAGATTGTCACTCTACTTAGAGTATATTCCAGGAGGTTCAATTCTCAAACTACTTCAAGAATATGGTCCTTTTGAAGAACAAATTATCAGCAGCTACACTCGAAAAATTCTCTCCGGTTTAGTCTTCTTGCATGAGAGAAACATAGCACACAGGTAGAAACTAAAGCTAGCGATATTATCAGAAATATTTTTCGTTCTATCAAGATCAATATATTCTTCATATATAGGTACTATCAACAGTTGATTTTCAGGGTCTTTCTATTCCCTATTTTCTCAGATGCCTTGTGTTACTGGCAGGGATATTAAAGGAGCAAATATACTAGTAAATGCTAAGGGTGAAATCAAGCTTGCAGACTTTGGAATGGCTAAACATGTATGTTATTGATCACCTACCAAGTTTTGATTTCCATTCTCTAAATAAGAAATTTTTATATACAGATGTATATATTTTGGTTTTTCGATTTGAATTTCAGATAAACTCGTGTTGTTTGATGGATTCTTTCAAAGGAAGTCCATATTGGATGGCTCCAGAGGTATTCTCTCAACAATTTGACTAAATGATCTTACTATCAACTTCTTTTTCTAAAACCTTGATTCTCTAATATTCGAAATATTACAGCAGGTAGTAAAAGATGCAGGAGGTTCCAGTGTTGCTGTAGATATTTGGAGCCTAGGTTGTACTGTTGTTGAGATGGCAACAGCTAAACCACCATATGAAGGAGTAAGATACACATCCCTTGGTTTGACGAAATTACCTAAAGGAATGGTAGTTCTGTATAATGATATAACTGGATTTTGCTAGTCTTTTTAGATATTGTTACATGGGATTGACAGGGTGCTGCATTATTATTCAAACAGGCAGATGGGAAAGACAGTCCTGAAATTCCCAGGAACCTCTCAGATAATGCAAAGAGTTTTTTGAAACTTTGCCTGCAGAGGAATCCAAGTCGCCGTTTGACAGCTGTTCAGCTGCTACATCATCCATTTGTTCAGGCTTAGTGGTGACAAGGAGGAATTAGCCACCACTTTATCTTGATGAGAATCCATCATCAACCGGACAATTTTATGGTATCACTCACTACCTACAACTTCTGCTATTTTTTTCGTTGAAATCAAGACATGATTGGTAATGTTTGAAAACTTGGTGCAGGCTGTAGATATTATCTCGACGATAAATCAACCAAGACGGATAGTGAAGAGATTCGTTTAAAGCTGTAGCAAGATGGGAAAGATCTGGATTGGAGAAATGAAGATCAAGACTACATGTCAAGGAAATGAATATGAGCTAGTTGTTAGACTACAAAGCAAAGGCAGACGCGGTGTGTTAATTAGCCGGTGAACATATACTATGATTTCAGGTTCATTTCTAGCTCCGCCCCTACACATAGGGAAAAAGGTTGCGGATGTAAGATGTTCCAGTAAGACCATCCCACCCTCTTGGTGGATAAGTTGTTCTGTTCTGCCTTTACATTTGTGTTTACCATATTTCATTCAGTTCAATCATGGATGACCTTAAAATTATCATTTCAGATGTTGGGAAAATATTTACCTGGATCATCACAAGGCTAAAATATCATTTACCATAAGACCAAGGTAGAATATACCAGTTGATATCAACAATAATCCTAGTACAAGCTATAGTTCAATCCATCAACTGGTCAAAACTACCAATTCATGTACAAAAATATCCAGCACCACAACAACTATTAGTCAAATAAAGTATTACCCTCTCGGACTTAACAGAAACTCGGCCACCAAATAATGCACAACATTACATGTATGACTTGTGCAGCATCAATCCTTGCCATCAGTAATAGTTGCATCAAAACCTGCAGGGAACAAAAGGCAAAAATGCAACATAAATTAAGGGATTATATTGCTGAAAAAAATGAAAAGAAAAGCAGTAGATTCAAATATGTAATGGAATATCAGCTTACAATTTACTTCAGCTCAGACTGATGAAATAAAGAACCTTTATAAAATATTATCATCTACCATGTTACATTACAACAATGACCAAGTGGCATTTCACATTATGGAGGCAGTCCTTTTAGCAGAAGGATATAATTCTGCTTGAGGAACCATTCCTATCAATATGATTTAGATCATAGTCAGGTTTCTACGCCTCAGTTTTAACATTCTAGAATTTCGCCCATCACAGCAGCCTAAATGTAGCAGGCTATATGTAGCACATTAACGTAGAAGAGAGACTAATGGCTCGTTTGAAGAAGTGCCCTGCTGTTATGATTGGGGATCATAAAGTGACGCCTATGCCTTCTCTCTAACATTCAATATATCACTAGGATATTTTCACTCCAGTAGACACCAGATGCATAAACTCAAAATTACTGGGAGTCATCAACATAAGCACTTTGGGCACATAAGAGTAGCAGAGACGAGATCGAATATAGATAGGGTTTTTCCCTTTTATTCAATTATTCAATATAATAAAATGCAAAATAACCAGACTCATCAGCAAAATATCATTATCACCATTTCTCTGTATTATATGTTTTCCTCAAAGTCTTGCTAGGTATGTCTTTAATCATGTAAATACAAGTCTGTAGCTAAGGAATATTGTTCCAACCTCAAAATGAATATTCTTTTAGATCAGCCTTCGAGTCTCCAAGTTCCAGGTCAGCCATACATTCTTCAGCTGTAAGTGGAGGGAGTTGCCTAGTTTTACGCCTTAGGTTATGCTTATGCCAGTCACTCTTAAAATGCTCTCTGTATTCTTTTGAATCTCCCACAACAGCGTTGCAAGTAGTGCACCTGTTCAGTTTTACTTCGCCTTCGGAACTCCCACTTTTTGCAGGTTTGCTCAGTTTTTCCTCTTCCCTAGAATTCCCGATTTCTGAAGAAATAGTCTGCTTTTGCATTTTCTCACTCAGCTGAAGGACTGAACCTGTAGAATCCTTCCTTAAACTCGATGAATCATCCTCATGATCATCGAACTGATCGACGAAAGTATCCCCCTCTACATGTACATTGACTGCAAGAATTTCCACTCTACCCTGTAGATTCCTTATTAAGGCATCACAGTCCCGGAAAAGACTTGGCTCAATTTCACAAATCTGCAATACAATGATCAGAATGGAGTTAAGCACCACGAAAAAGAAAATGTAGTTGAACTAGTAAGAGCGCATGAGGATCAAGCCTGCCCACTCAAAAAAAAAAAGAAAAAAAAATATTGAACTGCAAAGTTGACCTAAATATATGATGTATAAATTAGAGCAGAGCAGAATCTCTGCCTATTATCCGAAAAGGGTATTCTCATATCCTATCGCCTTGTAGAGAAGAATCTTTGCTAGTACTATTTGGGAATTGCCATGAGAGGTACATTTTTTAAATCAAAGTTCATCTTAGTTTCAAAACAATATATATGATGCAGAAATTAGTTTGGCCCCCTCAAAGCACTAACATTCTTGTCGCTCATTAGTTTGGTGAAACCAGGAATCAAAGAGATCCATGCTCCATAAATGATATGGAAATAAAATGACCTCTTCAATAACATTTGAATCATGCTTAAAACTTGAAACAAATCATTGCAACCAAGACTAGTCAAGCTAACAGGCAATGCAGTCAAACAAATTTTAGCAATGTTTTCAGCATTACCAAATAAATAACAACGCTGTGGATCTTTCTGGGTGACAAAATGAACAATTCTCAAACATTGCCTTTCAACCATTTATACTCGTCATGGAAACTGATATAACGGTCTAAAGAACAAAACATAGCCAGATGAAGATTCACAACTCTAAACTCATATACCCACTTGTCTAGGCCATCTCTAATGAAACTGGTCTCAAGTCAAATTGGATCAATGTCCTACACCAGGAGAAGGAATAATACGTTTACCAAGAGATGAAACTCCAAAACCCAAGATTCTGAATAGATTGATGATAGTGCAACTAATTGGTACCACAAAGACTAAGCACAGACCTGCGTGAACAATGTCTAAGCTACAAGCCGTCAATGAATAAGCTTTAGCCTTTCACAAACAAGTGTTCTTTTTATGACATTCAATATTCTTCTTTGATCTATAAGAAAGAACAGGACCTAATATTTATAGACCTAGTACCACTAAGACAACTAATCACAAAACTCAAGAGAGTTGACCAAATAGATCACACTGCATCAGAAGCAGTTCTTAAATATCTTAACATTGTACGGTGAATAAACCATGTTACCAAACCATATGGATAGAGAGAGAAATTCCACTAACATTTGAGGATCTGAACTAATGAACAAGATGCCCATGCTTCTCTCAAAGATTTGTTCCCTGACATACATAGACTATCTTTGATGCAAGAAGCAAAATAGTGTCCTACCAAAGGTAATGACTTGAGTGACTGGGAAATGAGTCAACTTGCTGAATTGCTACTGCTTTTGGAGACCTTTCAAGATAAGTCACAGTGCCAGGACAGGATGATTTGGAAAGGCAAAGGTCAATCCACAGTAAAATCTTGCTATGATAGCTTGATTTCAGGTGAACTACAAGTTAAGTTTTGGCCGACAAGGATGACACAGGAGTGGCTGTAATATCTTCTATTAAGGCCCAGACTGCTAGTAATATTTTCCGCTCTGGGCCTGGAAAAGTGTGAGTAGAGTGCAAGGCCTACTTACTTATATACCCAGCATCTCTCCTTTTTTTTTTGCCAATGTGGGACTCTTATCCTAAGCTAGGGTGTCACATACACCTCCTCTAATGGACTCAGCATCCTCGCTGAGGGTTGCCTCACCACATGAGATTTGCCTAGACTCGACACCGAGGTTTGCCCCGCAGTCTCCGAATTCGCCTAAACTCAGTTGAACACTGACCCACCATCGCCAAAGCTAATAGAAGAGTTCGGAAAGAGGGGAGAGTCACAGCTGGAACGGAATAATCGGGAGACAAAAGCCTACCAATGGGGGATTTCTAGATGAAGGTGGTTTGTGCATCAATTAGTGATTGTGTTTTAGGCAGTGTGAGTATTTTGGGGGCTGAGACTGGTTTGAATCATTATTTTTATGAATCAAACTTGGTTCCTTTGTATCCTGTTCTCTTTCTTTGTTTTTTTTTTAATTGTATCAGTTGGTTCCTTTTTTAAGCCCGTGTTACATTTCTTTTGTTGTTTTTTTTTTCTTTTTTCTTTTCACCTTTTTAAAAACAAATCTGAGAAAGAAAAAACTGGTACACATGTAAGCATCCCAGAACAAACGATCCCTTTTTGTTGGAAATTTTTAATATGAAGGTAGGGAGAGCAGTTGGCTGAAAATAAACATCCCAGAACAAAAGATTTGGAAACCTCTAGCTGCAAAAGTGCCAGAAAAATCAGACAAGGACTTCTCTTGTGCTATATGAGGTTTCAAATGTAGATGCCACTTACAATGGAGTGCTGACTTCCAGATTCTTCTCTCGACACAATGGAGGCATTCCACTCCTTAAGCTTGTCCAGGACAGAAGGATTACTTTGTTCTGGTACATGTATCCTCAACCTCATGGGGGCACGCTTTACGGGGTAATGCTTTTGAAGCTCCCGAATGACCTCCAATGCCTGTAGAAGTTAATTGATCAGTTGCAGGATACTAAACATAAAGAACTAAAAAGGCAGTCAAAACATCACAAGAAGTTTAGTTGTTACCTGTTTCTTTGAGCTGCTATTTGGATCAACAGCAAAATGGATTTCATGCATCAGACGTTCAATCATGCTAATTGTGTATGGATGCTGAGTTTCAGGATTGATTGTCTTCTGCATAACTATGGTAGCAATATCCCTGAACTGACTTGACAACTGTGATTCCCTCTCCTTCCCTGCAACTTGCAGCTCTCCTTTGTCCAAAATCTAAAATACAGAAAATATCTTTTACGTAATACATCACTCTCATTTATTCCTTAAAAAAAAGAAGGAAGAGTGGAAGAAGGGGTGAGGGTAGAGGAAAATATGGAATACCACTTAGTGGCACTTAAATAAGCTGCTTCCTTTGCTGGTAAATTAAAACAATTTTGATGGGCAAGTGCTTGAGTTATCAACTTATTAAAGTGTTAAACATGATTAAAATCACTACACCATAGGCTTTTAGGAGGTCCTTTTGAATCCTATGCATCACAAATTCTGAAGGCTGTGCGACGCTGATTAGCTTATGTGAATAACTACTTACTTCGCTTATCAATTCGAACAG